TAACACGAAGCTACCTAGTGCCTTGCCAACACATCTGCTCTGGGGAATGTTTTTCATTTTGATCAGAAGCAGCTAACTTGGACTTGGTAACGTCTACTGACTCTCACACCAGGGAAGGTAAATCAGGACTCGGACTTGTATTTGCATACAAAATGCCAGATTCTTATCTCCATTTCATAGTGTACATTGCCAAGCTCTTCTAAAACTGCCTGTTGCCCATGGTTTTGAGCAGAATGATAGATGTTTTCCAAATCTGAGATCACAGTTTGACCTTTAAGTTTCATGTGTGTTGTGTGCTTTCATTATTCTTTTTTCCTTGTGATGCTCAACAAAGATTTCAGAAAAAAAAAGAGTTCCTCTCTGAGGAAATGAGGAAATGCCTTGTGAGGACTAGAAAGGGAGACTGGGAGCCCTGGATTTTGCCTGATGACTTTCTGTGTGACCATAGTTTATGCACCCGAGGAACTGATGTCATGTTATTCCTGTGGGATTAGGATGAAGCTTTGGGAATGTTAGAAATGTTAGTTTGGGATCTTCAAAAGCATAAAGGAGGTGATGAAAATCGAAGAGGATAGTGGCGTTTGAAGTGGGAACACAGAAAAATAAAGTGAGAGGGGAACGCTTTTGGGAGGGTCAGATTACAAAAGTTTGTGCTCAGTATCCACCATGACATTTCTGGTTCCTATTCTGTAATTCAAACCAGCCGTTTCTTACAGAAATAGACAATCACTGGATGCCCACCAGGCACTGAGGCTTTGCTGCAGATAATTATGATCTGATGAATGAGCTGCATCTCAGGCTGAGCTCAAACAATGACATGCCAGGAGCTCTGCCATCCCACGGGGAAGGCACTGATGCTTTCCAGCTCCTCCGCTGTCGCTCCGGCAGAGATCCGCGCGTGGTCCCGGCTCTGCCCCAGAGCACGTAGCCATCGGGAGTTTCTGCAACAGTAGTTACATAAAGATGTGGGTTGATCAAAGAGCAGGCTAATTGGGTTGGATGGATCAGCAATTTGTGGTGAAAAGCCAGATGTGTAAACTGCGTCCTGTGTTGTGCCCTCTCCAAATGGTTAGATAAGCCCTCTGATGGCCGCTGTAGCTGGGTCAGGTCCGTTTGAGGTTGATGGTAGCCAGGGGTTGAAACTATGAGATGTCCATCAGGGATGTGTGCTCGGGGAGCCCCAGGACGTGGTGCTCACCCAACCGTATGGTGCAGTGCAGAGGGTGCGCCTCGGGACGGACTCAGCTGCGATGATTTATGGTTCAGCAGGATGGGGATGAGTTGTGATGAAGTGGGCTGTCTTTTGCATAGTGGATACTAACCAACTTTGCAAGCTGGGAACTCCTTCCAACTGCATGAATGAGTTTGCCAATGACTTGCCAAAATATGCAGATTATTCTTTCTGCTATTGCGCATTGGTTTAATGAGAGATTCAGGGAACCACCTGACTTTCCCTATAAACCCTACCAGCTACATCAGCAAGTAAGACATCCTGCACCAAAACTAGCAAATCTGCAGGCTGTTTATTACCATTTGTGTTACAGCACTTTTCAAAATTCCCTTTTAGGATTGGGCCCCGCTTTGCTCAATAATAAAAACTTTGCAGTGCTTCTTTTACAAAGCATGATGCCTCTCACAGATGCTTAGCTTGTCTTTAATTGGAGTTTTTTGATGTATTCTATGTGCTTGCTGTGCTGACTTCAAACTCGCTCAGGGCAGAAGAGTTATAAAATGAGCAGAGAAGGACAGAAGAAAGAAATAAATAAGGTCTTTGTTTTTCTTATGTAGCACCAATCTGTGCCAGCCTGATTTCTAAACAGAGACTTTAAATAGAAATGCATGTTTTGCTTTGATTGAAATATCCCAGAAAAATAAACCAAAGTTATCCCAAAATAGTTTGTGAACTACAATAGCTTGATGAAAGTCTCTTTACAGTATTTCACCATGCCTTGAATTCCTTGAGATTAACCCAGCCTTCTTCATCGCCCTCTATAAATGCTGAATCACTGTAGGACATCTAGCAAGATTTAATGCAGAATCTTCACTCCCTTCAGCTCAGGAGCTGTGATTTTGGGATGGTCTTTCTGCACTCTCTTTTCCTACGCAGCAACATAATTTTAGACCTACTGAACTAGGAAGAAACAGGCGATCCACTCTGATTTTTAATTGTGTTGGTGTGAACCAGGATGTCCTACTGAAGTACGTGGAGATGCAGTGCTGTAAAAGTGCTATGTAATCATTCTCACACCGGTGTGTATTTAGCACAGAGACATCTGAACACAGTATATACCCATTGTTTGATTATCTGTGCTTTGAAACAAACATTGCAGCACCTAATTAAGCAGTTGTGTTGGATGAGAGCCTGGAGCTTTCTGATTCCACAGGCTGGTTGGTCATTTTGTGCCCTGTATGAACTGCATTAGCTTAACTTTCAACTTTCCTGTTAAATGGCAGGTGGAAATCTGGAGACTCTGAGACAGGGATTGTGGAGGCCCTTTCTGTGTGTGCACTTTTCATGAATGTTTGAGAGCACAACATTCAGCTTGGATCTCATTTCTTTAATAACTTCCTGAAAGAAGTGGGTGTGATTTGGGCCATGCTGCAAAAAAGAAAAACATCTATTTCAGCATATTATCTGCATGCAGTGAGACACTACTAGTAAAACCAGGGTTTAGCTTAAAGAAAGGCGCAGAGGGTTCAATTCCGTTGCTGTGTGAAGAGGGGCTGGACTCATCCTTATTAATGAAACCAAGACCTGGAGCTTTGAATTGACCCACTGTCTTGCAGAAAATCCAGTATCCCAAGAGAACCAAGCAGCTCTTTACAGCGCTTGTGCTTTTCTGTTCATTCACAGTTTGTTTGTTAGATGTCATTTGCATGAACAGTCAAACAGTCTTTCAATTCTGTTCCATCAATGTTTTCAAGCCAAGTTTCCTTTTGGCACAGCACAGCGATACAGTTGTTCTGCTACTCAGCTATTGTTAAAGGAGGCTTAGGTTAAATTCTGGAAGTTAATGAGAGAGCGGTGTGCAGCAATTTGGATTATGCTTTATGAACTAATTAAATACTTATTTACATGCTGTGTTTACTGTCCTCTATACACAGGAGGTTTTGTTGAGTACTCATTTCATGTATAGGTAATTTACAGCTTATTTCAGCCTCGTATCCTTGATGCACGTTCTCTCTTCCCGCTACACAGAGCGAGGCAGATTAATATCCTGCCTCCCTTGACAACACCCAAGTGTCTTTTTCCTGGGTGAAAGAATTTTTGTAAAGCAAAATGCGTGTTTCTATCTTACCTCTTCATGATCTGTATTCAGTAATGGCCCTCAAAGTAGAAGGAAAAGATGTTTTTTCAATGCAGGAACATAAAGTTAGTCTTCTAAAGTCTTATTTAGATGTGCAAATCGAATTTCCAGAGGTATTGTTTGCAAAGCAGATCTGAACACATCGGCTGCTTTACACTGCAATGAAAACAGCAGCCCCTGAAGCCAGTCATAGCCATGGGCTCCTCACCCACCATCGTGCAGCCAAGGATCTGCTCATCAGCTGGTAATGAGCCTGGAGCCCGAGCATCCCCTGGCGTGTTCCCCAGGTGCCCGGACAGATGCCCTGCAGGGTCTGAGTCTGCTCCTGGAGCCGAGGTTCAGCCCCTCTCCTCCTTCCCATCACCGCAGGGCGCTCGGGGCTCCTGAAAACCTGGACTTTTACCAGGCATAAAATGAGGCTCTTATTTCCAAAAATTACTGATACAATGAATTAAAATTTGCTTTAAAATGTCAACGGGGATTGCTTAGAAAAACCTACACTGATATATTTGGTTTTAATGATTTTTACAGAGATAAAAGATGGGCCATTAAAACTGGGGCTGATTGAAGAAACAGGACATTATTTACTACGTTTCTAATGAAAGGTTTTCTGAAAGTTACTTATTAGCTTGTAGTAATGAATCTGTTTTGTAGGAATAAATTCAATTTAGGTCCAGCCAGCAAAGCAGTCCAGTTTGGTGCAACCTTTACCAAGGGAAGGAGGTTTTAGGAAAGACACTTGCCTTGCAGGGAATCTCATCTGCCTCTTCTAATTTGTAAAGCTAAACCCCTGCCATTTGGCTGAGTCTCATGCAGTCTTCATCACCGAATATCTAAATCAGCTTCTTTAACAGTTAATGTTAGCCCAGGTTGCTTGTAGTGGTGTTTCTTAAGTAATCTTTATACATCCACATTTCATTATCTATTCTAAATATTTAAAGTTTTCAGTGTTCCTGGGGTGATTTCCCCGTGTGCGTGTTCTGTTATTTAGCTCTAGTATAAAAAAGAAGATGATTTTTAATTTTCTGGCATTTTGTAGCTTTTGTTCTGCTTGCAAAGTTTAACGTTGATTAGTGTTGACACACAATAAGGGCAACCCATGTGGCTGACCATGCTTTTGGGGGGAGGTATGTCCCCTTGTCAGGGTGTGATGTGATGGGTCCCAGATGGAAGAGTTACAGGGTGCAGCTGAGCCCATCCAGCGAATGGCTCTCTGGAGAGAGGTCCTCTCTCTCTTCTCCCTGTCCCCTTCCCTATGCATGGTCTTGGCCAGCAGAGCTATTCAGGATTTTGCTTGGATTTCTGTGCTCTGGGCTCCAGCGGGCACACGCAGCTGGGGTGAGGTAGAGGGGAGCTGGGAATCTTCCTTCTGTTAAATCAGCTCAGCTGCATCATGTGGTTGCACCAGGGTACATATAAATCCATTTAGGCTGGCACTTAAATACCTGCTAATATGAAGTCTCTGATGAAGTCTTGATTTGAAATTATTTCCTGAATTATGGCCTGTTGGGAGCTACACCAGAGTTTAGAAAAGAAAACATTCCCTCTCACATCAGTGGAATTTTCCCCTTTAATATATGATCACAAAGTGATCTTTGGCTTAATGACAGTGCATAAAAGGTACTGCTGTATCACTGCTTTCATCGTTACTTGTTGCCAGTACCATGGTTAAAGTGCTGAACTCTTTTGCAGGTTAATGAAATTTATCATGATGAGTCCCTGGGTGCTCACATTAACGTTGTCTTGGTGAGGATAATCCTGCTGAGCTATGGCAAGGTAAGTAAAGGTTAATTGAAATGGAGGATATCAATATCTCTGAATGAACTTCATTCTTTTGTGAACAATGTAGTTACTGGTGACATGTATCGGTTTTGTATTTTAATTCATGCATCGTCCTTTATTCATATGTTGTCTATGAATATAAAGAACTTTTATGTTTGTATGTATTTGAACTTTACATTTCAAAGAATTTTGATTTATTCTGAGTTTTCGCTGTGTCATTTTAAGTTGCTGCTTAGCTCTGGCAGTCTGTCTTTTTAGATTTGTTTGGAATAATCCTTGAAATGTAGAGAACATTTTGGTTCCTAAAGAAAGCATGAGGTGATGCGGTAGAACCGTGTGTAAGTAACAATAAAGACAAGATCAGTTCTGCAGGATGCTGAGGGGCTACAGCCTCATTCCAAGAACTCATTTAAACTTGTGCTTAACATTAGTTGGGACTACATGTGTGCTTAATGTTAAGTGCAAATTCTGTGGAATAGGGGCCAGAAGGCAAGAGCTCTGCAGATCAGATCTGTAATTAAGAATACTGTGTGTTCTCTTGCTGTTTCTATGTAAGGGCAAAACTACAACTACAGGCAAAACTTGGGTAAAGAGGAATGAAATGGTAAATGGTTTTCAAAAGTATTGAACTGCTGAGTACCCATGTCTTATTTTTGCCAAATCAACATCAAATTCCGTGGAAACAGGAACAGGGTGTTTCAAGTATGTTGGTAAATGCTGTGGTCAAGGGCATGCAGTTTCAGTGCTCTCTAGTACAGCAGTGTGCCCAGCAGGGTGTTACAACCTAACGTCCCTTTTTCTGTGGTCCTTTTTCTGGAGTTGCTGGCATTTGCGTGTTCATGGAATAAACCTGGGTTCTGGAAAACTCTGTATACGTTCATGTGAGTTGGTGAAACGTTGTCTGAAGAACCAGATGGTGTTGGTGGTGGATCTCCGCTGACATTCCCCCATTACCCTGCTCGGCACCAGCTAAGAATTTTCCTCCCTGGGGCAAATGAGGGAGCTCCAAGTTCTAGTCTGGACTCTGTTGGAGACCAGTTTGGGATAAATTGTTCTGTTGGAGCTTCCCCATCTGAGAACTAAACACATCAATCCATCTCCACTCTTCCTGCAGTGATGTAGATAATGATGTAGTTACATGTTTTGGATAAGCTTAATCAGATGTGTGTCCTAAAATAAAAGGTATAAAAGGTCCCATTTGCCGTTTTGTGACCGAAAGTTCATGGTGTGTGTAGTTAACATTCCATTACAAAATAAAAAAAATACCCTTGTGATTGCTGTAATGACAGCAATTCGAGGGATTGCAGATTGACTAATAATTCTCATAAAAATCTGATATTGCAGTAGTGGCAGAAGCCAGCAGAATTAGCGCATGGGCTAGTCGCTTCCTTACTGTCCTTATTTCATAAGTATTTCATAATTGTCCTGTGTGTCATCCTTAGCTCTATAAATCTGCACCAGTCTGGACTCTGATAACTTCTGCCATTTATCTGATGGAAGACAATAGAATCTTCACCTTAAGAATCTTTATTTTCTTACAAAACATAGAGTGTTGTCCATTGATAATTTGAAAGTTATTGATTTCATATTTATCTTCTTCAGAGAGGAGAGTGAGATGGACCAGGGGAACCTTCACTTCTTGATGAGTCTTTGGCCCCATGACAAAAATAGCCATTGCAAGTAGTGCTATGGAACCTGCTTGTGGATACTCTGCTTCTGGATTATAGATCCATAATCTGCACTGGATGATGTTTCAGTTCCTGAGTTATCCTGCTGGTTTCAGCAGAGCATAAAAAGGAGTAATTCTCATATCACAAGCTTGCCCTAAATATTTTTCTTGCATTTCTCTATCTGATGCTTATTTACATGAAAGGCAATTTATGGCTTTCTGAAAAAAGTAAAATTATTGTAAAAGGTATAATTTCAGAGCTCCTCCACCTAATGGTGTGGGAGCCCTGGCTGTATAAGAATACATTTTTTAATGTTGAGATTTCTAAAGCTCCTGATCAGAGGAGTAGTAACAGGGAGCAGAAGGTGAGGAGGTTTCTCTTCAGAGGGCTGGGATTATTTAGCAGTGGAAAAGCGCAAAGAGAGAAGATGCATAGCTCTTACTTTCTGAACTTGTTCTGAGGAATTAGAGCAAAGCCTTCAATATTTTACTATCCCACTGAAGCATACCAGCACTAATAACTTTTAGGAATCCATATTCAAAGTACATAATAAAAGGAAGGGCGCATGTACAAGTTAAGGCAGTGCATGAATGAAGCAGCCTGGTTGGCTTCACAATATGAAAATATTATCCAAGTCTTGTTTCAGTAAGCGTTTCTTTTGAAAGCATGTAGCTGATCTCTTCAGATTCATTTGCTTCATTGTAGGCAATTTATATATATTATCAAGGGTGCCATTTAAATAATCATAATAATTACATTATGGTTCTGTAATTGATGAAGTATGTGCCATCAATGTCAGGTTTATGACAGCACTCTGAGCTATTGCCAATTCTCCACCCCTGAACAGCCTTCTACTGTATTGTGGGGTTTTTTTGTAAAGAGGATTATATTATTTTATACAATATGTCATCTGTTGATAAGAATAATATGGACAATACTCGAGTTGCATAGCAACCAGCTTTCCAGTGATTCTTGCTTGAAGCTACTCCATTCCTTGAAATGTACTTATTTTCTAATATTTTCAAACACAGGCAACTGTACATTCAAAAGTTTCAGTCATTTCAGTAATTGCATTAATTGCCCTGGTAAGATGAAAAAACGGAAGACATTCCTTGGTGATCACATGTTTAAATTACTTCAGGGGCAAATGCAAAAGCTCTGACATGGTTTTACTGAATTAACACTTTGTGCAAGTTATTACCTCTGAGCTGGCCGCTGGGTGTTGTGTTGGAGGGGAGGGCAGCGTGTGGCTGTGCTGTGGATGGGGTGGGCAGGCTGAAGCTACCAGCCCTTTCCTGACTCCCCACTTTTCTCTGAGTCCTTCAAACAAATGAACAACCCTGTCTGACATATCAGAGGGGCTGATGTGAAGGCTTTGACCGTGCCTGGCTGCTGCCCGCTCATGTACCAATTCCTTCAATAGGATAGAAAAATGGTTCCTGCAAAGACTGCTCCATATCTGTGGTGGCTTCAGAAGCTGTCATGCATTTCTCTGCATTTTCCTTACACTGATCCCCCAAAGTCACAGATTTTCGTGATGCGACAGGATACTGTAAATGAGTAAACAGGGTATGTGCGGTGCGTTTTTCTTTAAATGGGAAAAAGATGAGCTGGCTCACTCCTGCCTTTTTGCCTTCAGTAGTAGGAAGATTGGTTCTAAATTTTGGAAACTGTGGATACATTTGCGATGAATATAATTCAACGTTTGGGCAAATTATTCCATTTAGACCTATTTTGGTTGTAACGACTCTGTAATCCAGCTCGCTCAGGGGAATAAGCAAAGCAACCACTATCACCAAGCGGAGAGGAGGTGGCAAGAGATGAGCTGAGAATGGATTTAAAAACCCTGGCTGGTGATTATAAAATTTGTTTGGAAACATTTAAATCCTGAGCACTGCATAAAATCCTCTCATCGCCTCTTTGAGGTGGATGAATAAAGATTATTATTCCCATTTTACAGCTAAAAAAACAAAGACGTTAAGTGTTATTTTCCAAGGCCACACGGAAGGCCACTGGCAGGCTGGGGATAAGACCTCATAAATTCCTGGCTCCAGCCCCACGCTCTGTCCATCGACAATGGTGACTTTGTCTGCAGATGAGCTGCCCTCGCACCGCAGCAGAGAAAAGCACACACATTAGATGGAGTGGGTATAATTAAGACCGTTATTAATGAAAAAAAAAAGAAAAAAAGCCAAAAAGACTTCTGCAGGAACTGCAGGGGTTTCAATAAATGCAGCCACTTGAGGATTTGTGAGGGTTATTTCTGGGGAAACGTGAACGTGGCAGTGCAGGACACCACTCTCCTTTGGAGCAACATGAACAGCTCGAGTCACCCGTATTAAGACTGGAACAGGGTGGGATATGCTGAGGGATGCTGTGGCTGCTCTGTACCCATCTGGATGGCAACCAGTAGGAAGAGAAAATCTGTGTTGGCTATAAACCAGTGTTGGACCCGGAGCAAGTGGTTGTGCTGTGGCCATGTGTTAACTTGGTCAAATTGAAAGAAGAACCTTACCACCAAGGCAGAGAGCCTTCCAAAAAGATTAGGAGTGAGAAGAAAACCCAAATGGCTTTAAGTTCAGGAATAAGGTAGTACGGGGTGGATGCCTACAATCTTATAGGACAGAACTATTCAGCTGAGAAGGATTTTTCACTTGTGTATGTCTGAGATGTTATCAGAGCTCCTGCTACCTTCGATCTTTTCATAAAATGGTGCCCTCCATCTCTGCCATCTGACCTTTTCATCTCTAAGCTTGACCCTCTCCATCGCTGCCATCTGACCTTTTCATCTCTAAGCTTGATGCAAGCAGGGAAGATATTCTTGGTTCAGCCAGGATGGAAAGTGGTTTGGTCTGAGCCTGATTCTTCTCTCTGTTTCCCAGAGGGTGGCACAGGTGACACAGCTGAGATGGAAGGACAAGCCAAGTTTATCCCTTGAAGCTGATGTCTGTCTTTACCATTTTGCTGTTGGCCCTGGCTGGAGAGAAAGGGATGAGGGCTCCACTCATCTCTGCTTTTCTTGGGAAGAGACAAAGCCTTTGGCTGAGAGCAGTTGTGCCTGGCAAGGCAAGGGGGTTGTTCACTGTACATGAGGGTCACAGAATAGCTGTGCTTGGAAGGGACATCAGGGCACCAATCTAGTCCAAACCCCCTGCTCAAAGCACGGAGAGCAGGTTGCTGAGAACCTTTTTCTTGCATTTAAATGGAATTTCTTATATTTCAGTTTATGCCTGTTGCCTCTTGTCTTTTTTCTGGATACCACTGAGAAGAATCAGGCTCAGTTGTCTTTACTCCCTTCCCAACAGGTGTCTATATATATTGACA